TGACAGTGAGAGGGAGTGTTTATGGCTTTATTTATCATCCTCTCTGTGGTTCCTTGGGCATTACTCACCTGGCTTGTGCGGATGATCTTATACTCTTTTCAAGAGGGGATAAACATTCCATTGGAATTTTGGTCAACGCTCTTAAAAAGTTTGGGGATGTTTTTGGCCATAGAGTTAATCATGATAAGTCCAATATTTTCATTGGGCGGGTTAACGGTTTTGATTTACAGAGTATCTTAGATCTTGTGGACTATGGTCGTGGGGTTTTCCCGGTGAGATATCTTGGAGTCCCGCTTGTACCGCTTAGAGTCTCCGTGGCTCAATATGCTCCCCTTTTGGAGACGGTAAATAATTTTTTGAAAACTTGGAATACTAAAACTATTTCCTATGCTGGTAAGCTCGAGCTAATTCGGTCTGTGATCCAAGGGGTCCAGTCCTTTTGGCTCCAGGTCTTTCCGGTTCCCATTACGATTTTGGATAGGATTGTCTCGATTTGTCGCATCTTTCTGTGGGGTGGTAAGTACGCCAAGGTGGCTTGGGACGACATTTGTCTCCCGAAAGAGGAAGGGGTCTTGGCATTCATAATGCCAAGGTGTGGAATCACGCCCTCCTCGCTCGCACCCTTTGGGATGTTCACACGAAGAAAGACACCCTTTGTGTGAGATGGGTGAACGGTGTCTACCTTAAGGGTAAGACCGTGTGGGATTTTGTCCCGCACACCCGGGACTCACAACTCATGAAGCGGTCGAGTCTCATTCGAGACAAGAATCGAAGTTGTTTTAATAATTTGAACGATACTATTTTGGGCCTTAAATCTCGTACCACCAATGGAAAATTAGCCTCCGCTAAGATCTATGATTTGTTAAGAGTCAAGGGTGAAGTCAGGACTCCTATGAGTTTCATATGGAAATCCTACATCCCCCCAAAACTCTCTTTTAACGTGTGGTTGGCCTTGAGAAACCGGCTCCCTACCCAGGATAGTCTTGGTTATCTCCACATTGTGAATAGGTGTGACTTGTGCAAGGGTGGTTTGGAGACAATACCACACCTCTTTTTCCTTTGCCCCTTTACTTGTAGGGTGTGGCAGCAGATAAGGAACTGGATGGGCTTCGGGCATGAAATGACTACTTTGCTAAGTGCCATTAAGTGGATCACGAAGACTCACAGAGGATCAACAATGAAGGCAAAGGCAGCCCGTATTGCCTTTTGTGCAACAGTTTATTACGTTTGGCATGCAAGGAATGAAATTAGATTTGATGATGGCAAAAAGACGGAAGAGGAGATCATTACTAAGATCAAACATGTGACTTACAAGATACTCTATAGTATCTACCCGCAGGAGTTGATCATCTTTTGAAGAAGGCGCTTTGGACTTTTTTTGTATTGCCGAGGCTTTTATTAGCTGTGTAGATCTGTGTGAGTGTACTCTTGAAGCACCGATTTGGTTTTTGAGTTTTTGGGCATTTAGTATTAAATACTTAGGCCCTTTTTTATTTTGTTTAGATCGAGCAAAAACCTCTCCTAACCCCTACACTAGGTAGGGGTGGGAGGGTAGGAGATCTAGAACTTTTGATGTATATTTTTCTTGGGTGTTAATATATATTTACATTTCATCCAAAAATATATATTTTATTTTGTCGTCTGGTAAAGACCACCATCTTATTTCGTTGACTTAGATTCTTTTCCAGTACAGACAAATATCAATAATTGATATTATAGGCGTTGAAGCCAATAATTTAGCGATCCTTTCCTTCCAAACCTTTGATTTCTTTCCTTAAACGTCTAGACTCTTTTCCTATAAATACTCAGTCTTCTACACTGAATTCTACCACGAAATTCAGACGAAATACTACACAAAAATTCATACTCTCGAACTCAGCTCAATACTTCTATCACTTAGAAAATTCTGCGAAAAAGTTCATTTCGTCCCTGAAGCTTCTCTTAGTCTCTTTGTCTTGAATTCTGCTTGTGCTATCATATTATTATTTATTTTTATAAACTTACATTTGTTTTAAGATCTTCAAATTCTTATTTTTAATCTTGATAAAACCAATTTTACAGAGAGCTATTTAATTTTGTGTACACACTAGTTCTTGATCAAACTTTATATCTTTCTTATGTGTATTGCCTTGTAATTCTCAACTCTACGTCAATCATCAATCTTTATATTCTGTTTGAGAGTTTGAGATCATATTCTCTACTTGTATTTATATTCTCCAAATTGTAAGGTTTCGTTTGGTTTTCCCAAAACCAATCTTAGGTTGTTGGTTAACCCGTTGTAAAACCAACATAGTTGAGGTTGTGTGGTTGTGCCTCTTGAAAACCACTGTGAGGGTTTTGGTGTGCCTCTAGAAAACCATTAGTTGAGGTTTTTGGTCGATCCTCTTGAAAACCATTAGGCTGTGAGTTAGCCCCTGTAAAACTCATACTCATTGACAAGGGTTTGTTTGCCAAAACTTTAGGTGGTGCTCTTCTTGCATTCAAGGGAGACCATTTTTAGTGGATTTGGAAATCCTAAAGGAGGTGCCCTTAGGTAGAGGAGTAGGATTAACCGAACCTCTGTAAATCATTGTGTTCTTACTTGTTTTTGTTTTCTTGTTTGAACACACACAAACACTCAATGTTTGCATTCTTTTGTGCACTAACACTCACACACACTTTGTTTTTCAACCTTGTTATATACTTGGTTGTTTCCGTTGTCTTTATATCTTAAGCACAGATTTTTTTAAACACCTAATTCACCCCCCTCTTAGGTGCTTTTCGTGTCTTTCAATTTCATTTTTAGCCGGGACATAGTTTAAGTAGTAGTTCAATTAATCAAGATGATGATGTGATTTAAGTGACTCGTGACCACTAATTTATTACTCCCCCCGTCTCGAAACTTAGTTCTCACTTTTTGGATGTCCCAATATTAAGTCCTTGCTATTCTTTTTTGGTAATATTTGAGTGGTTAAGTACTTTTTGGTCCTTATGAAATGTAATTCATTAATCAAGAACATGAAGAACTTCTATTGTTGTTAGTATATATATTAAAACATAATAAAATTTATTAATGTAATGTATTAAAACGGTTTGATTTTCCGAAGATTAATATTTAACCCTGATTCGTCCCGAATCTATACACAAATTATCTGTGGGATCGGCCCACCATGCGCATGGTGTGCCGATCCCAAAACAGTACAGTTTCATATTAAAACTGCATATTCTTTTATCTCCTTCTACTCCTTCGCACTTCGTCTCCTTCGCCCCTTCATCTCTTTCGCATGAACGATTTTGAGGAGTTCAACGGAGGCCATGGCTGGACCATGCAACCGACATAGAAGGCTGGGAATTCAAAGGAGATACGTGGAGCAAGGAAGAAGCGAATTTTGATTCCTGTTAGTCGTCGTCCCCTACCAAGCCTGGAGAAAAAGCTCTGCTATTTGCTTTGCTCTACAATGGAATCATCTGGATCTGCGTATCTCTCCTCCCAACGATTAGACTAACGATTGATCAGGGGCCTGGCCACGTGACACAGAAAAGAGGGATTTGAACTCCAGCTCTAGGGCTTGGCCGCGTTACACAAGGAAGAGACATTTGAACTCCAGCTCCACAGTTATCTACATCACGGATTAATTTTCTCCATCTTCGAATCCAGTGCATCAGGGATATGGTGTCTATTGGGAATCCTTTTTTATGTTTACATGTAGCTTAAATTCTCTCCCTAAGTTACATTTTTATTAAAATAATTTACATTTCCATTAATCTCAAGTTACATATCTATTAGTCTGAGCTACATTTTGATTTTTCTGAACAAATTACATCTTGCTTACACGTGATTTACATTCACCATAAGGCGAGTTACATCACAAAATAGTGTGAGTTACACAACAAAATAAACATCTGCTATGCAAACAAAAATATGTTTAATTAAAAATCATTTTTTATAGCTTTAATATTAAAAATAAAACATATTCATCATTTATGTAAATTAATTGGACAATTAGACCTTTTTTTCATTGTTTACATTGAAATCAATGCTTTATTTCTTCTACTTTGTATTTTGGACAAATTACATTTGGACGGACCTGCAGTTACATTGCTTATCAACCTCAGTTACATTTCAATTCACATAATTTACATCACAAAAAATACTGAAGCAAAAAACCATGGTTACTGTTCATCCGATCCGCATCTTTTAAATTGGAGTATCATGTTCACCGTGGGATGCTCCTACGGTATACCAACTGGAATCTATATTATTCCCGCGGTTTTTATACCTATTCGGCCACTCCTAACATTACCCATTGTGGGTTCATGCTTTTAACTAGGGCTGGATTCAGTTCGGTTCCCGAACCGAAAATGAGAAAAACAAAACCGAACCGATTTTTTCGGTTTGACAAAAAGTGTAAGCGAAACCGAACCAAATATGTTTGCGACCCAATTAATCGGAAACTAAAATTTCGGTTCGGTTTTTCAGTTTTGGGAAAGACCGAATGAAATTTGAATTAAATCCCATTCTAATAAAATATTGACTACATCAGTAACCACTAGAATATTTAGCCACCTGCTTGACCTCAACTCCAAAGGGGCGGATATATAGGAAGGTATGAGAAGTAAAGTCGCAACCGTAATCGGTGTGGGAAGGAGCCAATGCATGTGCAGCGTTGCGCGGCCACTGAGCTACTTTGTATTGTTGGTGTATAGGGGACACAACACATACTTATTACATTAAAAACTACGAATAAAATAAAATAATGAAATAATTATTATTGAAAAAAAAGTCGGTTCGGTTCAGTTTGAACCGATTTTAAATATTAAAGAACCGTGTTCGAACCGATTTATACTCGGGTCCCGACTTTCGGGTCCCATTCAAGTCAGTTCGGTTTTTTTATTCCTCGGTTCGTTTTTTTCGGTTCGGTTTTCGGTTCGGTTTTCGGTTTTTCGGTTAAAAATGTCGGCCCTACTTTTAACTAAACCCCTACTTTGTATTTGGGCAATCCGAAATAAAACCTACTTAAAGTTGGGGGGATTTGCCGGCAGCCCATTGGAATGCCGTAACCCCATCTGGCAATCCATTTCAGCGAGTCGCACGGAGTTAAGGAGGAAGGTCGCAGTCCCAGTCCCGCAGTCCCGCACGCCGCACGCCCCTGCTGCTGCCTGGTAGTCTGCTTCTCACAATCTCACTTCTCAGCTTGTGGCCTTGTGGAGTTCTGGCTGAGTGGCTGCCTTCAGTAGCTCCGCTAGTCGCCCCAGCTCCCAGGCAGCAGGTAAGTCATAAACTCATAACTCATAAGTGTATTATTGTATATTCTTTAAACTTTTTTGTTTTAATTAAGTAGCTAATAGCTTGAAATATTGATTCCTGAGATTGAGTGTTTGACTGTTTTACTTGTACGATTTTTTTAGGATGTGAAAATGTGAATTTCTTCCGGTTGTAGTGAATAATTGTGAAAAATGGATTGAGTTATGAGTTAAAATTATACAGATTAATATAACTTTTTATATAGATTAATTGTAAAAACCTTGTATAACTCATAACTGTGATTTTTTAAACAGATTAATTATGAATTATGTGATTGAATAATAATATATTGAATATTTTTTAAATTGTTGTCAATTTAATTAGATATGGCTATACAATCTACGTCTAAAAAGGCAAAAACCACACTGGATTTTTTAAGCCTACTATAAATACAGAAAACAAACAACAATCAAATGACATTATTGAAACTCTAACTATTTCACCCTTTCAAGAGGAATTAGTTTTTGATGCGCTTGAAATTGAGCGATATTCGGGAAATTAGAAAAAAATAAGTGAATCACCCTTAGAATAGAGATGAAATAACACAATCTTATTTGATGTTTGGACCTTATCGACCAAAACTTAACTTGTATGAAAGCCGAGGTAAAGAACGATGTGTTCAGTTAATGTTTTAGTTTCATATATTGTATGTACTTAAGTATATAGTTATGAATTTTAATGGATTTAAATCATTATGTTCGTAGCGTTTACATTTTTTACATAGTGTTTTTATTTTAGGCCTCCCGAACCTTCGTCCTGGCTACACTCCTGCTCAAAGTTGAAGATATAATTTGTTACCATCTTCTTCATATAATCTCCGGCCTTTCACACCGTTCATCCAATTCAGAAACAGTCCAGTAAAGAGCTGATTGGAAACCATGGGAAAAGCCAAAATTATATCACAGAAGGAAAAAATCCAGCGGCGTGAGTCGGAGATTAATGAAATCAAGCTCCTTGAAGAATGGATTGAATCGCGAAAGCCTGAGTGTGGTGTAAACCCACTTGCTATTGAGCCGTTACCGGATAAAGCACCTTTAGGTCGACTTGCGGATGGATCATTCTCTCAGTACGCTGGATGCACTAGATTCCGTCAGTTGCCCCTATCAAAGAAGACCCAGGACGGATTAGCCGGAGCCAAGTATAAGACTATGACAGATATCCAGAGGGCTTCGCTACCCCATGCACTTTGTGGACGTGATATTCTTGGGGCAGCCAAGACAGGGTCAGGAAAGACTTTAGCTTTTATAATTCCGGTGAGTTTTTTAAAATGCTATATTGCCTCAATTTCTTGTTATGTTGTTTAGGGGTTATACCTTTGTGGCGAGATGTGGATAACCACTTTTTGCATTGGGTTCCTATTCTAGTTATGTTATGAATTTTAAACATACGCAAGTGCAAGAGCAAACATGCTCAAATCTCATTCCCATCCCCCTTAAACCACGCAGAGAGGCAATTAAATGACTTACTGATGTAATTCTGTATTTCATGTTAGGAAAGAGAACATGTAAGGCATGCTTCCTTTTGAACTAGACATAGTTTACTTCAGAAGCTCTATATTCTGCGTGCCAAAAAGAATCTTAGGCACATATGACATGACTTTGTTTGTTTTTATGTTCTATTCTTGAGGCGTGGAGTGAGATGCCATGTAAAGGGTTATGTTAATGGCAAATCAGTGCTTACAATCGTCTCTGTAAATTTCATCTCCCTTATACAATCCTCCTACATTGCCCACAAATAAACAAAAAAAATCTTGTATACTTGACTATCTTTTCACTTGCTTGAGTGACTGTTTCTTTTTATAACATCATGTAGATGACTGGATTTGGTTGTTATATTGTTTAGATACTAGAAAAGTTGTACAAAGCAAGATGGAGTCCAGAAGATGGGGTTGGATGTATCATAATATCTCCCACAAGAGAATTAGCTGATCAACTGTTTGAGGTATTGACATCAGTTGGAAAGCATCACAGTTTTAGCGCTGGCATTCTGATTGGTGGACGAAAAGACATTGAAATAGAGAAAGAACGTGTACATGGGATGAACATCTTGATCTGTACTCCAGGACGGCTTCTTCAGCATATGGATGAGACTCCAAATTTTGATTGTTCACAGCTTCAGGTTCCAATGACATCCATATCGGTTTATTTGTTTATTTTTCATTTCCTTTGAAATAAGATACTCTGATGTTTTACTCTTCATGCGGACTTACATGAGTTTTGCTGGAAAAGTAAATTTCAATTTCCAGTACCCTTCTCATTATAATCATTCAAAAGCAAATAGTAGATAACGTAAATTCAGTGTGCTTGTGTATAATTAGAGCCTTATTTATTAACTGCTGAGTATTGATAAAAGCATATTTCTGACAAGTATTTATATTACTTGGTTCATCATTTTATTGAATGATGTAACAATGCATATGGTTTAGTGGTTTCTGACTCATGTTGCACTTTTCTGGCTGAGGAACAGATATTGGTCCTTGATGAGGCAGATCGTATTCTTGACGTGGGTTTCAAGAAACAATTAAATGCAATAATTTCACAGTTGCCTAAACACAGACAAACCCTATTATTCTCTGCAACTCAAACAAAGTCTGTAAAAGATCTTGCTAGGCTCAGTCTGAAAGACCCGGAGTATGTCAGTGTGCATGAGGAATCTACTACTGCCACTCCTAGTGGTTTGATGCAGACAGCAATGGTTGTTCCTCTGGACAAAAAATTGGATATGCTATGGAGCTTTATAAAGAAGCATCTTAATAAAAAGATATTGGTGTTCCTTTCAAGCTGCAAGCAGGTATGAGAACGTCAATGAGTGATATTGGAATCTTACATCCTTTGCGTACATGTATGCTATTGCTGCTTGAGGAGTTCTATGTGTGCCCATTTCTTTGAGAATAGTAATGTCATCTGAAACAGACTGTAAAGTTTATACGGGGTATCTTATTGGCTTTAGAAAACAGTTTTTAGCTACTTAGCTCTTATTGTCTACGTTGAATGTGCCATCACTAGTACTGAATGTCTTCTAGCAGACTAGCAGGGCAACAACAGTAAATAGTCATAATCACAAATATCTTCTTGCATGACAAAAAAGATCCTTAGTTCCAAATTGAAGAGGTGTTGGTTACATCTCCTAGCATGACTACAATAATACAAAGCCTTAATCTCAAATAGATGAGGTTGATACATGAACCATGGGATTGTGTGACAACCTCATGAGGAATGAGGCCATCAACAGATGTCCTCATTATCTATTTTTTTTGGTAAAAATCTGAAGCGCCAATTCTATTAGCCAATCATTATGCCTTTTTTGGTATCATGCATGTCCCAAGCCAGGATAAAAGAGGAGGGTGCTGTGGTAGGCGCATGACGGCCAACAGTATCACTTAGTCACATCACATGGCACGAATCAAAATATGAATATCGCTACAACTAGGTCGTCGTCCGTAAGCGACTCGTCATCCCTCCGTCTGGGGTGGTGTCAAATATGCAAGGGCGCGCTACACTTCATAGGACTGGGTGTAGTGATAAGAATGCTAAGGCTGCTAGGTCGTCATCCTGAAGCGACGCGCCACGCCAATGTCCGGAGATGGTGTCAAATATGCAAGGGCATGGTGAGAGTCGATGTGGTGTGAAGAAGAGAAGGCAGATATCTAGATTGCGTTTTGGGACGTGGAATGTTGGCTCTCTTACGAGAAGATCATCTGAGATAACCGAGGTTATGAAGAGGATGAACTTCAGCATAATGTGCATGCAAGAAACTAAGCGGCTTGGAGAAAAGACGCATGAGATTAGTCCGGGAGGTTTTAAGCCGTGGTATTCGGGGAGAGAGAGTAACATAAATGGAGTAAACATTATGGTGGCACATGATTTTGTTGAGGGTGTGGTAGAAGTCTTTAGGAAGAACGGCCGCATCATGAGCATTAAGTTGATAATAGGAGATGAGATCATGTCTGTGGTAAGTGCCTATGCACCACAAGTGGGATTGGATGCATCTAGCACTCAACAATTTTGGGAGGATCTGAAGGAAGTGGTGTGACGAGTGCCAAAGGGAGAGAAGTCGGTCATAGGAGGCGACCTCAACGGGCATGTGGGCCCAAGTCGTGATGGTTTTAAGAGTATCCATGGCGGACATAGTTTTGGCACTAGAAATGAAGCGGGGAAGAACTTTTTGGATTTTTCCTCGACATATGAGTTGGCTGTGATGAACACTTCGTTCAAGAAAAGTGAATCCCACTTTGTGACCTATAGAAGTGGAGCTAATAGTACCCAAATTGACTACTTTTTAGTATGGACGACTTGGGGAACTAGCTACACTGATTGTAAGGTTATCCCAGGGGAGAGTGTTGTCTCTCAGCATAGGATGCTTGTGTTTGATTTTTAAGTAACAAGAGAAGGCACATTAAGGTACAAGGGGAGCCAAAGATAAGTGGTGGAGGCTTGAGGGAAATCTCCAACAACATTTTGCACACAAAATGTTGGAGGAAGATGTATGGTCTTATGATAATGTCACACATGTGGATGATGTGTGGTTATCAATGAAGCCACCATTAACAAAGTGGCACAAGAGATGCTCGGAGAATCTAAAGGATGTCTGCCACAAAAAAGGACACATCTTGGTGGAATGATGAAGTGAAACAAGCAATAAAGACCAAAAGGGAATGCTATAAGAAATTGGGAAAAAGTTGGAGTGACGAGAACATAGAGGAGTACGAGGAGACTAGGAGAAAAGCAAAGAAAGTTGTAAAAGAAGCAAGAGGAAAAGTGAACAAGGAATTGTATGTAAAATTGGACTCTATGGAAGAAGAAAAAGATATTTAGAGACTTGCTTGCCTTCATGACCGTATGACTCAAGATATTAGAAAAATTAAGTGTGTGAAGGATGTCGATCAAAGGTACTAATAGAGGACGAGGAAATAATAGAGAGGTGTAGGTCATACTTTGATACCTTGTTCAATGGGAATAAAGTGCAAGGTATTGATGATCTTACTATACCAGAGTGTATGGTAAATCGGGACCAAGGTAGTCAAAGTCGTGAGACACACTCAAGGCGATGGGGGTATTCCTAACGCCTGAGGCGCATGGCGCATTACTTAGAAAATATCATACACATTATTCTCCAATAATCCAACATGATGCATATAACATCATATTAATCCAACTACTTTAAAAAATCATGTGTCTCGCAAATAAAGTCATGCTTCACCAAAATAAAGTCATGATTAACCAAAATATAGTCATGTTTCACAAAAACCGGGTCATTTTTTGCTGATTCAGCATCTTCAGGACCATGACTGAAGTTTCACCTTCCATGTCCTGTAAATACACAAGACAAATAGTATATATTACCTCCGTTCTTTTTTAAATGCAACATTGGACTCGATTTCATTAATTAATGTATTACAAATTAAATTCAAAATTAATATTATTAAATTCCTCTCATTATAGATTTTCAAAATCTATATTTTTTTACTAATAAGAAATGAAAGATATTAATGGTCAAACTTGTGCATTGACAGACGTGAAAAGTGGACCATTGCAATTAAAAAAGAAAGTATATATATGTATGTATATATATATATATATATATATATATTATACAGTATACTTTCATGAAACTATTCAATATTTCAATGAATAGGTTAAATGAAGTGCACATGAATGAAAATATTGAATAATTAAAAGAAACAAACTTATACTAGTACATGATAGAGTGATAGTACACACATGTATGAGTTCTATAGAGTATATAACAAGAAGTAAATGCTGAAAAAATAAAGAAAATGGGCTGATAGCATGCAAATAAATGTTTGATTTCTATAGAGTATACACTATATAACATGAAGGAGATGCTGAAAAAATAAAGAAGAAAGAAAATGGCACAAATCACAATGAAGAGTGTTGCACTTGATAGATTATATACTGGTTGGTAGTTTGCATAGTTAGTTAAATACAGTACGAGAAATAAACGAGGTTTAATACGTACGCGTTTTATTCGGTAACATTAATGAAAAATGGTCAAAAATTCGTTTTAAAAAAGTTGACTTTTAAAAAACATGTAAATATGTATACGTGTATAATACGGTATCTGTTACAAAAATTCGAACAAAAAATACGGGTACTATTTTGAACATTTAAATTATATACTTTACAAAAAAACATATATAGTAAAAAGAAATAAAAGTATACACATATTCAAGTAGCAAATCTCATTACTACATAAAAGAATAATTCGTAATTGCATAAGTCGATGACAAAAATAAAAATAGTAGTTAAGTCCAAGACATGATTTTGTAAACTAATGTCAACAAATAAGACATAAAAAAATAGATTGAGACTAAGTAAAAATGATTATCTTTATATGACCATCAAATAATACTCGATTTAAATTCATCATTTTCATCAAGATGATGGATGACATATGTGACTGCTGCGCGCGCTTCTTATTGTTTATGCGTAAAAGTTTATACTAAAAAAATGTCAGGTTCAGAAAAAGTTTATGCATAATATTTTAAGTTTTAGTCTTTAAGAATGTTAACTTTTGCCGCAATGCAATTAATTTTAGTATTTAATAATTGTATTTTAGCAATACAAAAACATGAGGTCACATGGAGGAGCTTTTCTTTTTTTCTTTTAAATTATTGTTGATCCCCTATATATTCATTTAATGTGTTCATTCAATTCATCAATTCATGTTTTTATTTTTTGTATTTTTTCCATCATTTGCAATGGAGCCAAAGATTCATTATTTTTTTGGCTTGAGATTATGATGGAATAAAGCAAAATGGCTCACTAAACTGTCTGCGCTTCTTTGTTATGGAGCAGCAGTCAGTCCATGCAATCTTGGACGCGATTTTCACTATGGGTCATCCGGAAACAGTCTCTCTATGCTTTAGTACAGGGGTAAGACTGCGTACATCTGACCCCCCCTTACCCCACCGTAGGTGGGAGCCTTTGCGGCACTGGGGTAAATGAAAATGAAAAAAAAAATTTAATAATTGTATTGTAACAATACAAAAACATGGGGTCACAAAGAGGAGCTTTTCTTTTTTGGTTTTACACTATTGTTGATCTCATATGCATTTAATGCGTTCATTCAATTGATCAATTCATGTTTCTATTTTTAGTAAAACACGGGAAAAATACGTTTAATACGGGAAGTAGGAGTTTTTTTCCTTTTTAAACGGGCCGACATTATTTTTCGTTTTAAACGTGTTTTTTTGTTCAAAAAAATGGTACGCGTTTAAAACGCATTTAAAACGGAAAAAAGCTAACTAGGGTAGTTTGCATATATATGTTTAGGTTGTATAGAGTATATAAGATGTAGACTGTGAAAAAAAAGAAGAAATAAAATGGAATGATGAAGGAGAATAAAGCTTACTGCGATTGATCGTTGAGTGTTGCACTGCTGTCAGCTTCTGCGGTTGATGTGGAGGACAGGTGGAGGTCGCCAAGGGACAACTTGAGTAGAGCAGAGCAGGTTTCCGTTTTGTTAATTAGCTTAGGTTTCAGTTGTTTTGACCTTATTAGATTGGCTTTATTAAAAATATGGGCTTCTTAATGTTCTTATTTGACTGCACATCTGAAAGTATATCATTAAACTAAAAATAAATGTATTGCCCTGTCAGGCGTGAATAGTGATCGCCTTTCATCGCTTTTGCGCCTCATGCGCCTTTGCGCCTTAGCTTCACCTTTCAGAGGAGGGTGCTTTGCGCCTGGTGCGCTTAAGTGCCCATGCGCTCGACTTTCACTACCTTGATCGGGACTTTGTGAGAAAGATCCAAACAACAAAAGTTAAAGAGGCTATGAGAAAGATGGACCGGAAGAAACCAGTGGACCCAAATGGCATACCGATCGAGGTTTGGAGAAGTGTGTGAGAGAAAGGCATTGAGTGCCTAACACGTTTCTTCAACATGATTTGGAGAAACAACAAGATGCCAGTGAGTTGGCGAAAGAGTACTCTCATTCCCCTATTTAAAAATAAGGGTGATGTACAAGAATGTCCCAATTGTCGAGGGATTAAGCTTATGAGTCACACCATGAAACTTTGGGAGCGAGTGGTTGAGCAAAGACTTCGGAAAAGTATGAAAATTTCGGAGAATCGGTTTGGTTTTATGCTTGGACGCTCTACAACTGGGGTCATTCACCTTCTTAGACAAGTTGTGGAGAAGTATAGAGACACTAAAAAGAATTTGCATTTGGTGTTCATTGACTTAGAAAAAGATATGTATGAGGCTTGTAATACAAGTGTCCATACTAGTATAGGGAGGACCGCAGAGTTTCCTATTACTATCGGAGTGCATCAAGGATCTGCTCTGAGTCCTTTCTTATTTGCTATAGTCATGGATGAACTTACGAAGTCAATTCAAGAAGATATACTGTGGTGCATGATGTTTGCTGATGATATTGTATTAATTGATGAGACGCAATCGGGTGTTAAAGCAAAGTCGGAAGTATGGCGACAAACATTGGACACCAAAGGTTTCAGACGGAGCTGAAACAAGACTCACTATATGGAGTGCAAGTTTGGTGGAGGTAGAAGTAGTAGCAATAGTGGGATTACTCTTGATGGTAAGGAGATAACGGTGTGTGATATGTTTCGTTACTTGGGCATCATAATTCAGAAGGATGGTGTATTAGATAGAGACGTATCCCATAGAATCAGAGCTGGGAGGATGAAATGGAAGAGTGCATCAGGATTTCTATGCGACCGAGGTATGCCGATTAGACTGAAGAGTTTATCTCTTTTCTATCTTTCCTCTCTCTTTTTCTTTTATCATTTATATTCTTTATCCTTTATGCTCTTATGTTTTTTTTATCTCCTAGCTTTTTCATGCATTTTTATCTTTTTATCTTTTATCTTTCTTATGTTATTTTTTTTCTTAGATTTATTTATCTTTGTTTTATCTGTTTTATCTTTTTATTTTTTTCTTGTCTGTCTTCTCTTTTTGACATCGATATCATGGATCGATTCATGTTAAACGACCCCAAAATCTTTAAGGACTAAGGCTTGAATGTTGTTGTTGTTGTCGTAATATGTGTCATTTTGGTCTTCACCAACTTCATTTAGATCTTCAATGTTCCAAGTTCCAACCTTCTACCCTCCGAAGTGGAGCACTTCTGAGATTACAATCATGTCCAAACTAACATTGCCCAAGTTGGAACTCAACTTTTGTGTCCTTTTTTCTATCTATTAATTGTGAACTCTATCTATTAGGGTATGTTTGGTTCGAGGTAATCATCTATGCAGACCGGAATATGATGTCCGGAATGTGAAATGCCCGTGTTTGGTTCGCAGGTTTGATTTGTTTGGGGAATGTTACATTCACAAAAAGAGAAGAAAGTAATCTGATGCCTTGTAATCTCAAACCCACTTAGCTCTTAGGTTATCTCACATTCCTTAGTGGTAATAAATTTTATTCCAAAAATACCCATTCTTATATAATCAGAATGGTTAAATAGCATTTTTTTTCTTAACCAAGGCCAGAACACTAGGCCCTTCTACGTCAGTTAGGTCGCCTTTGCAGGTCGTCACCTCTGGTCACCGCCGCCGGTCCGGCTCCATCTTCTCTCTCTGGTTCCCTTTTTTAAAGTTACTGCTGTCTTTTGCTGTATTGCACTTCTTTGGCTGGACTTGTCTTTTAATCTTTAGCCCATGTCATACGGAGTAAGGGTTTCTTACTGTACACATTTTATTTACCGGTGGAGTCCATCTAATATTTGTTTCCATCCCTTTGAATAAATGTCTATTGCACTTGCATAATTGTGCAGATTATTACCTTTGTGAAAATTTATAATGAACATTTGTCGTAGATAAATAATTAAATTGTCAGATATTCTCTCATCTAGCTTATCCTATTACTTTGTTTCACATTTTTTAATTTTTAATTTAGTTTATATTATATAATTATATTATATTTGATTTTTTAATATGTGTGTATTATAATAATATTACATATGAAACGACATGGCACCTAGTTATCGCCCAGGCGGGCTCCTAGATGCCTAGGTGATAAGGCTGTCTGATGGCGCCTAACTGCCATGACAAGTATGAATAGGAGTCAATCTCCAATCTTCCCTAAATAAGATCAAACATTAATTAATTAATTATTATTCCCTAATTCCCTTGGATAATTGGATCAAGCTGTTGGTGACAGGCGGTTCGGTTGTACTAAGTGCATTGTGTTAAGAGAAAGTATTTGAAGGGCAGTGAAGTAATTCATCAAGTCTGCAGTATAAGATACTCCCTCCGTTCTATAAAATTCTCCCACTTACCTTTTTGGGAAGTTCCAAAAAAAATTTCCCATTTCCCTTATTGGGAAGTTTTGTGTGGCTACCATTTATTTACCTTTTTCTTACTCAGCTACAATCATACATTTCACTTTATACCCACTTTCTTAAACTCCGATTCAAGTCATACCGAGAAGAATTTGATGGGACGGAGGGAGTATCATTTAACCAAACAAATTAATGTTACATTCCTTTAATCTTAACCAAACACAAATGGATACAAATCGAATACATTCCCATCAATATAATATACCCAAACATTCCCATGGTAATTCGACATTCCTTGAACCAAACGGGTCCTTAGTGTTATCAAACATCTATTTTAACATGAGAAAATTATCTCATGTATGACCAAATCTTTGTGTGTTTCCCAAAATATGACTTAAGTCTTTGTTTCCTAATATGATGCCACATCGCATGTATCCAAACCATCCAAAGTTCTCTTTTTCTTATTCATTCCATATGTGCCTAGACATATATTAGGAAAGAATTATGTATAGTCATACATTGGGAATTGTATAGGTTTTTTTCCTGTATAGGTATTTTTCCCTTTTAACATACCTTATTTTCTGCATTCCATCCTTCTGGCTAGCCCAACACTCTGGTCCTACATATCAAGGCTGGTATAATCACAACCGTATTGAATTATTTATTTATTGTTTAGAAGTAATTTGCAATCACACAATATTTATGCCGCTTCAATCCTCTTAACCAACCTGCATTGTTTTTCTTATAATATATCCCCAATACTTGAAGTACTTACGTCACCCCACTTTGCTCTGTATTTTCAATTTTTTAATGGTGATGAATTCACTCCATATATATTTGGCAAGTTGGTATTACTTTAACCAGTGCTAAGATCTTGGGACTCTAGCTCTTGTCTTTGTACTTCGACCTAGCATGTATTCCCCTTCTTTTGGCTCTGTGAAGAGGAATGGGCTAAAAGCCAATCCATTATGTAACCAATCGTGATAGGGGAATTTTGATCTATGTCTTTACTTACTTTTGTTTTGCCATATTTTAGTTCCAAACCTCCACATTCTTTTGCTCATTGTGCTCTGCTTCCGGTGTTAAACTGTGAGTATACAATTCTACAGGTAAGATTTGTTTATGAAGCATTTAAGAAACTCCGTCCTGGGATTCCTCTCAAATGTCTTCATGGAAGAATGAAACTAGCAAAAAGAATGGGGATATATTCTATGTTTCGTGAAGAAACCAGATCTGTTCTTTTCTCTACAGATGTTGCTTCACGCGGACTTGACTTCAGTAAAGCCATTGATTGGGTTCTCCAGGTTAGGTTTAAGCTATTGAAGAAGCAAATGCTTCACTGTCTGGTTTTTAATTTGAATATAATGTGAAATCTGGTTATTCTTTTTGTCCAAATAATGTTTCAGGTTGACTGTCCTGAAGATTGTGCTACTTACATACATAGAGTTGGTCGTACTGCTCGCTACCTTTCTGGTGGGAAATCTCTATTGTTCGTAATGCCTTCTGAAATTAAGATGCTTGAAAAGTTGGAAGAAAAAAAGATTCCCCTTCATGTTTCTAAGGTATGAATTTATTCCTTGATCTCTTTGTGAAATCCTCCGCTGGCTTTTGGACCTTTTGGATGTGTATATCTTTTGAAATCTTGGGATGAAGATTCATCTTGCGATATAGTTTGTACTTTGTAGCCAACAGTAAAATTAAATTTTGGACTCTGTTGTCTGGCTTGCTAGATAAATGTAGTACCACTTGAATCTAATATTATTTTAAAAAAATCTTCCAGGCAAAAGCGGAATTCTTGCAATCTGTCTCTGGATTATTGGCTGCTTTGCTAGTCCAATGCCCTGAACTACAACCTTTGGCTCGAAGAGCTTTTACAACATATTTGAAGTCCATTTATAGACAGACGGATAAAGAAGTTTTCGATGTCACGAAACTTCCAGTTGAGGAATTCTCTGCTTCTTTGGGTCTTCCAATGACCCCCAAAATTAGATTTTTGAAACAGAAGGTGAAGGGTAAGACTGTGTCCGAAGCCTTATCTGTCATGCCTGAGGATATAACCAATGAGAATTTGTTGGAGTTTCCAATTAAGAAACCAGATGCTGAAGAGTCTGAAGATGACATCCTCATTCCTAAAGACACACACACTGCACTTGAAGCTAAAACGGTTGGAGCTGTAGATTCTTGGTATGCCACTCTTTAGATCTTTAAATTATTGGGAGGAGAGTTTATATCTTTCTACTACGTTTCCCTCTAACTGCCTAGTTTATGATATTTCCATAACGATTTTGTAATACTTCATTTTTTGTGTTTCAAATGCTATTATAGGCCAGTTTCTAGAATTCCAAAGAAAAATAAGCTAAAGATCAGTGCTGATAGACCGTTTGGGACTCGGGTTATATTCGATGACGGATGCAACACTTTGCCTCCTCTAGCAAAGTTGGCCCAGACAATGCTTGCTGCGGACAAAGTCCGTCTTGACCACAACAAAGGTGAGCACTCTAAGTGCTATCTGCCAACCTCATATGGGGTTCTACTAGCCTTGTAAAGAAAGCTTGGTTTGTAAATTTCTTCCTTGACCTTTTCAATGTTCTTGATGCAGTTAATGAAAGATATGGCATTTTGAGAAATGAGTTAAAGTTGATAGACAGAGAAGACAAAGGTTTAGACCGTCAGCGTCGCAAAGAAAAGCGTCTCAAAGAGAAAATGAAGTTGAAGAGAGGGAGGGATCAGGAATGGGATGAGGAAGAGGAGGGTGATCTCTTGGGATCAGATGCCAATGCTGGTAGAGGTAAGGCTGAAAGGAAAAAGATTCGTTTTGGTAGTGACGATGATGGTGATTTTGGGGAGAATGATGGCACCTTTAAAACGGGTATGAAGGTTTCTCCTGTTTCTGTGGCAGAGCAGGAGGAATTGGCTCTCAAACTGCTCAGTTCCATGCACTCATAAGCCATAGTTTTGATGGCATAGATGATACTCAGTAGTAGATTTGGGCTTAAATTTATATAGCTATAAGATGCGCAAACAGAGGCTTAAAATATTCGTGAAGTTGTGTAGCATCAACAGAGATATTGGAGATTTGGAGGTTTCCTATATATAGCGCGGTTGTCCAATCCTTTAAGTAACATCATAGAATTATCATATAAAATCTTCCGGCACTCATATTCATGGTTGGCATCCTCCTGGAGCAGCTAGGTGTCAACTGTCAAGACAAAGATGTCAATCATCTTCGAATTTAGCATGTTTCTTTTTGTAATTTTTATTCATCTATTTTTGTTTTTATTTTATGAACATTGTATGATGATTGACTTTTCAGTGTTACATGTAAATACCTCAAGCGAAGGCCAAGGACAAAAACATTTACTCTTCCCAAATGCTTGATAAATGTTGTAAACCACACAAACAGTATTGTGATTTCTTCTTTGTGACTAGGGGTGGGACCGGTTAGGTGATTTCGCAAAGTATTTAGAAAAACCATTTAAAGAAGGTGAAATTCATAAAAACAATCCCTACTTTTAGGGATTCTACAATAATGATCTGTACTCATAAGAGATGGCAATTTCAGTTGACCTGTTGGATACCCGCATCGAATCAATTTGGTCAAAATAGGGAAAATTGGTTTGACTGAGGAACGAGTACGAGGTGGGTAATACCTGATTTTTTAAATGGATAATGGTGCGGTTATGCTTCTATATTAATATGCCTAGTTGTCCACCCTGAAATTGCTCTATTTACTAATGGTGTGGGTACTCACATCGTTACCCATCCGTAACATTATTAATAAATTATAACTCTTTATATATAAGAATAATAAGTATATATGCTAAATTGTGTACACTAAATCGTATATATCATATAAGTATATCAAGAATAATACACCAGAGGCTCACTTCAAAACCAAAACATCCCTAACTCAGAGTTAATTTGATGGCGTAATGAATTTAGGTCAAAAACTGTTTTGCGAAGGATTACTACTTTCTTAGACCTCAAACTAAATTTAGGCCTAGATTTGTTTTATGAATTTATATTCTGGGATGATTTCTATTTTTTTATTATAATACAAGAGATGTTGGGTGTTTGTCATACTAATTAATTTAGGACTAAAACTGCTTGATTGCTTAAATATTTACTTTTGTACTTCGTATGTTTTATGGTGCTTTGAATACATAATTTATAATTTATTACGAAGGATGTTTACATTAACAAGTAGGATTAGAGATTGGTTATTTGGTATCATTTGGGCAAACGGTTACCCGTGGATAAACCGATTCCCCGTTGGGGCGGGTACGGTTCAAATAAAAATTATCCGAACGGATAATGGGGCAGTTTCAGGGCAAACATTTATCCAACGGGGCGGTTTTGGTTTTATGTAAATCCGTCCCGATCGGCCCCGTTGCCATCCCTACTCATAGTGTCCACAAAATTAATTCGAACTAGATATGATGTTCTTAGGAATAAATTGGGGTGAATTTAAATTAATGCACGTTTAATAGTCTTCACCCTTAGTCCCTTACCCCCACTTTTCTCTTCTTCACTCTTGATCTCGGATCAATTTCAAACTAAAATCCACTTAATTTCAACACCATTTCCGCCATATGTGCTTCAAAGATCTTTACTTATAATTTCATACTACGTAATATTTTGGCAATATAAATAGCTTATATAATCATTAAATGTTACTACCTCTGCCCCATAATGGTTGCCTCATTTCAATTTGATACGATTATTAATAAAGTGGTTCAAAAAAAGTTGTTGTTGAGATTTGAGTAGAATGAAGTGAAATGATATGGACCACAACTTTCTTATCAAAGAGGGAAACATGCATCCATTTTGGGACAATCCAAAAAGGAAAGTAAGACAACCAAAATGGGATTAAATATGAAATTAATAGATAAAGGTTTTTAAATATGTTTTTAATCCCTGTAAATATAATACATTTTGTTTTACATTCTTGCATTTTTTTTTGTTTTTCGTCCCTGCAATTTGTGTTAGTTTTCCTTTTAGTCCATCACCCAACATAACAACCTTCGTTTGACCTCAAAATAATTCCGACTAATAGTTTTTCTCTAATTCTTTGTCATGTTATTAAAAAAGTATTTAATTTTATTTTTTAGAAGGCTTTGAATTTATATTTTTAAAATGTGAATATTTAGTTTTACATTATTTTAACTCTCATATTAACCTCAAAAAATATAAAAGGACAAATTTAAATATTTCTAGTAGATTTACGCAATTGACAATAAGTTTTCTTAAGTAGAGTGGTTTCAGAATAAGAGAAGAACTAAACACAAAATAGTGCATATTGTAAGGATGAAAAACAAAAACAAATATATTTTGCAGGGATCTTAAACAAAGTGTGTCATATTTGTAGGGACATAAAACAAAGTGTGTCATATTTGCAGAAACTAAAAAGTATTTAAACCATAGAAAAATAAGAGAATAGTGCTTTTTAGTCTCTAAAATTGGTCATGTACATTCTAAAAACTTTATATACATTTAAAAAATATTTTTTGATGTGGGAATTTGATAATTAATTTTATAGGAATAGAATACTTATTGATCAAACGGTGGTTAAGTAAAAATGGAAAAAATAAGTTGAGTCGAAACCAAATTTAGCCCGAGCCACCTAGCCACCGCTTAGCCCACCTATTCGGCCGACCGATTGTTTTCATCGATTAACATGAAATTGCGGCGTCCGGCAACCGCCCAACGACTAGGCAGCACCTAGGCGGACACCTAGGCCGATTTTAGAACCATAGTAGGAATTATTATTGCAGAATCCATCAAATTATGTATTATTCTTGTAAGTTTCGCCTTTAAAGAACTGTTAATTATATATATAGAACAAAATATTATCATACAACCGCACTGACCATAAGTGTCGTGTGGCTGATGTCATTTGAGGGGCTTCCTAGTGAAATTTTTTAATGAAATTTTTTGAACATGATCTTCATGAAGTGTAGATTATCTCCACAAAATTTTAGCTCAGTTAAATAAATAGAAATTTCCCTAAATAGGAGTAAAAACACTTTGAAATTCCAAAATAGGAGTATCATGTTTTTTATTCCTTGAATAGGAGTAATCTGTCAAGTTTGAAAAAAAATGTCATGTTTAAAAGCCTAGTAATGCCAAACTCTGCAGAAATTTACTCCTATTTAGGGAATAAAAAACATGATAGTCCTATTTTAGAATTTCAAAACTTTTTTACTCCTATTTAGGGAATTTACTCTTAAATAAAAGGTTGGGAAATGATAAAGCCAGATATTTAACAATCAAACAATCTAAGCAGTTAGAAAAGAAGCAGATAGAAAGATATCGAGAAGATGAAAACCAAATCTGGTATACCGTATAAACCGGCCGCTGCTCTCCTTGGAGAAGGAGAGCAGCGGCAACCCTAATCTCTCTATCTCTACGCCTCTGTGTCTCTAAGCCTCTCTCGATTCTTAGGGTTCCCGTAAGTTAGCCTCCTTTTATAGGAGAAGTTGGCTAACTTACGGGTTACAAAGAAGCCCCCGGGCTGATACACATTTGTGGCCCGTATTACACGTTTAATTAATAACTACACCAATACAAAGATAACTAACTAGATTGAACACCATAAAATATTCCCAACAATCTCCCCCTTGGTGATCAATCGTGTTGAATCAGCATTGCAGCGCAGATATCTTTGTCTTTGTTGTTATTCAACTTCCTTTTCATTTGAACTTGACTTCTTGAGAAGGCTTCATGAAGAAATCCTCGCAATCTCCCCTTTGATGTTTTCTTAGCAAATTGATCTTTGATGTTGGGGGTTGAGGAATCTTTTTCTTGAAAAACTTTGCCTTCCAGAAGTAGCTCTTGATAAGCTTGGATGAAGTCTGGTGGCGCCTCTAGAATGATAGTTCTGATGAGTTTCAGACGCCCATGGAATTCATCTTCAGAGTTTGATTATCTGACCTTTGTCTCCTCCACAATGTAATCTTTTTGACTATTTGAAATGAATGCTTTTGATGAGAACTTGTCGGTGGCACAGCGGAACATAATGATGGTTTAATTGTGAGCGTAGCAGACCATTTGAGTTGCGGAGATAGTAGAGAAGGTGATGATTTATGTGAAGGAGGAGTGACGTGTCCCAGAATGATTTGTTGAGAGTTAAACAGCATGTGGACCACTCTCCCCCTCATGACGATCCGATGAATCGGGACGTCATGCTTTTATTCTTTTATTCTGCGGAAATAAAACAGGAAACAAACAGAAGGAGTAAATGATAAAAGCCCCCCGGGGTCGTGTAGACACCTGTTTTCATCACTATAGAGATAAACTCTAAAGCAATGGCCTGAAAATGTTGGTGATTCTTATGTTGCAACAGCAGGACTTCCTTCCAATTATTGGTCTACATCTGTAATAGATGATCCCTATGGAAGTTCTCGCAAGTCTAGAAGACTAGCAACTTACTCTAAAATGTGTTTGTGTCCTAGAAAATAACAAAACATTTGGGAGTGTGTAACTAGACACGACGTGATCAATGAAAGTTCAGTGGCATGGGGCTGAGGCCACTGTAGTCAGTATTACTTGCCTCGTAAGGAGGTAGTAATGAGAGATGCGGTTCCCCGTGAAATATGATTAAACACCTGTCTGTTGGGAGACAAGTGTGTGGTCTTGGATAGGGTTCAACATGCACTGTTGGACAAGATGCAACGACTTCTACCCGGGATCTGATTAAATCAGTTTTAAACCTATTTGGGAATTGTCCAGAGTATTTGAGTGGCTAGGAGTAAATGTTCAATGGATAATAGGCAGTTGAGGTAGCAGACTCATCATTTATTAGTGTTTTTCTTCTCACTTGAGCCTTCTGCTTTCTAACGCTCATAATGTTCACTCACTCACTCGCTCACTCACTCACTCGCTCACTCACTCACTCACTCGCTCACTCACTCACTTACGCTCGGCTTTGTCCCTTGGGTAGGCTTAGTTGGGTTTACTAAGCCATAGGGACATGTTCTCTCATTACTTTCTTCATTTTCTCTCTGTACTCCCCCTCAACTGGAGCACTCGGTATGCTTTGTCATTGTTAGACACCGAGAAGGATAACATTGAACACTCCCCCTAAAATGTTGCATCGTTTGAGAGTTTCCGTGCTTTGTCGGTGTAAGGCGCCAAGAGGAGAAAACTGAAACTCCCCCTCAGAATGTGCAAGGTTTGATTTCTCACAGCTTGTCATACCCGCCATGTGTGTGGAGCAATCTGAACAAGTACCACACGTGACGGTTTCGCTGAACTCATCATGTAGAATTTCAGCATATTGATGATCACATAATATTGATGAGTTAGGGGAGGCTTTAGTGGTTGATTGTTGATTGTTGTAAGATGACCGTTGACGCGAGGTTGATTGAATTATCTACGATTTTCGGACCTCTACAGTGAAGTTTAGAAAAGCTTTGACCTCAGGGTTGACAATGAAAGAATTTGAACAGATTCGCCTAAGTTTTGACCT